ACAATTACCTTAATATAAAGTAACAAACCATCAGCCAGTAATCCTTTTAACAAGTAAATTATTTATTTCTATTCAGCGTGATCTACCCTGTCAAAACACTAATAAAACTATAACCCCCCTGAAACTAAAATTTGAATCTCCCCCAGGAACTTGGACCTCAAAGAGCTCTATGTTCATTATCACCCTCTAATTATCTCTCCTCACCCAGTTATTTGATTCCAAATGTCATAATTTATTAACTAAAATAGAAGAGGTATAACACCCTAAAACCATTATTTAAACCTCCCCCAGAAGATCTACCGAAGAACATTTCTATACTCATTACCACCCTCTAATACTACGCCCTCCCTCAAATATCTCAGTATAACCATACCTTAAGCAGTTCCCAACTAGACTATATCTCTAAGGAACTTTCCCCCCCTCTAGTGGAGAGTTGATTACTTTAAACTCTGTACCAAATTTAATAATTAGTTTAGTTGGGAAACCCCATTTATAAGATTCATTTTTATCTCTTAAAACTTTTGATATCATTCTGCACTCATTTTGCGTTCCATAATCACCTCTCCTGATATATCAGGAAAGATTTTCAATTGTTCGTAAGGTGCATCAAAGCTTTTACATTCAATTGCTTTCTGTAATATTTTTTGTTTAAAGGAACACTATAGTCACCTAAATTACTTTAGCTAAATAAAGCAGTTTTAGTGTATAGATCATCCCCCTGCAATTTCACTGCTCAATTCACTGTTATTAAATCACTTTGTTTCTGTTTATGCAGCCCTAGCCACACCTCCCCTGGTTATGATTGACAGAGCCTGCATGAAAAAAAAAAACTGGTTTCACTTTCAAACAGATGTAATTTACCTTAAATAATTGTATCTCAATCTCTAAATTGAACTTTAATCACATACAGGAGGCTCTTGCTGGGTCTAGCAAGCTATTAACATAGCAAGGGATAAGAAAATCTTAATTAAACAGAACTTGCAATAAAGAAAGCCTAAATAGGGCTCTCTTTACAGGAAGTGTTTATGGAAGGCTGTGCAAGTCACATGCAGGGAGGTGTGACTAGGGTTCATAAACAAAGGGATTTAACTCCTAAATGGCAGAGGATTGAGCAGTGAGGCTGCAGGGGCATGTTCTATACACCAAAACTGCTTCATCAAGCTAAAGTTGTTCAGGTGACTATAGTGTCCCTTTAACAGTAAAATAATGTAATTTCACTATCAAATCCCGCGGTAAATCCCTTGAGATATTGCGTGAGAGAGAGGAAGTCTATGAACTCTATCTGGCATATGGGCCCTCTCAAAATCTGGATTCACCAAAGAATTCAGAAATGCTATTATATAGTTAGGGAGGTCCAACTGCCCCACTAATTCTGGTATCCCTCTTATGAGAATATTATTTTGTCTAGAAAAATTCTCCAATCTGCTATATTTCTGTTTTAAGCCCAAAAGCTCCTCTTTTAATTTATGTATTTCCAGATTAGAGTGCTTATGTAATTCTATCAAATGTTCTTGTTGGGTACCTAAATCTGTAACTTTCTTTGAGAGGGTATTTATATCTTTGGAATTTTTGGCAATCTCCCTAGAGATTTCCTACACCATGTAGGCCTTTAGATCTTTTAATAAATCTATCATTACTTCCTTCATGGTGGCAATTGTGAGCTGTTCTTCTCTATGACTATCTACCTCTACTAACCCATCTACTAAGGATGACTCAGCTGATGTCATTAAGTTATCTGAATGTTCTAGTTCTTTTTGCGTCCCTGATGTCAATGCTGACTCCCCTAAGCTATTGCGTTTCTTAATTGGGATAAAAAAGTTACTAGTCAGTATTCCATTATCTTTTTCTTTGCCCTTTGCTTTACCCTTAGAGCTTTGGTTGTGCTTATTTTTCATTTTGTCCTCTCTTATAACCACCGTTTAACACTAGTAAAACAGCAATTTAAGATTTAAATTAGCAATAAAGACCCAATATTTTAAATTCACTATAAATCACAAAAGCAAACCAAGGGATCTACTCAAAGGAAATTGAGAAAAAGAAAAAAAGAGGACACAAAAAATTATTAAATTATGATTCGACCAGCTTCTATCAAAGCCGATAACTTATTATATTTATGCTGGTCTGCCACAAATGATCGAACCATATAAAAGTCCTGAAAGTCTATGAATGCATATAGCTGGAATCGTTCCTTCTGGATCTCAAAACTGGAAAAAAAATATATATATTTTAAAGTCCCAACTTCCCAGCAAAGATGTAACTAAGCTGAGTTTGAAATAGGAGTTATCTACTTTTCTATCCTCTTTATGTCCATTTCCTTTTTCCTTCCCCTTGCTCTCTTCTCCTTTTCTTCCTTTCTTCCGCTTCCGTCCTCCTTTCTGTATTCTCTTTGAAACTCAGCTGCAGGTAACAAGGGCTAGTGCAGCCCGGCTTTAACCTTTTCTACAAGTACTCTGCAGCCCCTTGAGTCTCGTTTGATACTGCTATGGCAGTTAAAGAAGGAAATAGACAAAAAAAAAAATCTTCTATGGCAAAGGTTTTAAGGTGACTTTTTATCCAACTCTCCAGAAAGCTACATAAAATCAGAAAAACTATTGTGTAACAAAAATATGTAGTGGAGATATCTAACTCAGCAGACCTCCTCAGAAAAATATAGCCTTATGTAGCAGAGATATCTGATCACATAAACCCCAAAGGGGGATGTTTTTAGCAACTGGAGACCATAGGGGGTATGTTTGGGAATGGGTTGGGTTAGGGTAGGGGTCTTCCCCCCTTCCTCTTTACCCCCTTTACACTTTCCCTGCTTTCTTCTCCCTTCCCGGCTCCTTACTTTGCTCTGTCTTTATCTGTTGTCACTCACAGTATATTTTTCTTCTCCTTCAATCTCCTTTAATCTAAACAATTTTCCTCTGGGCTTCCTCCTTCCCCGGTCCATTCACCTTTAAAGACCTTTTAATCTCTCTTCATTCTCGGTCTTTTAACTCGGCTCTTCTCTTTTATATTATTAAAGGACAGCTCATATGGGACATATGGGACTTACTATTTATTCCAGTCCTTCCAGTCCTTTTCTCAAAGCCTCCTTAAGCGAGCGGCCGTTCCCTATTTCCTCCCTGAACACTGTGGGGAACACACACTGTGGGGAACTTCATCCACAACGCCGACTTCACTAACTGCACCAGAGATGCAAAACTGAGGAGACAGACGCTGAGTTCTCCGGCTGCACTCTCCGGCAACTTAGGCTGTGTGTTTGCTAGTCCGAGCTCAGACCTCCGCCATTGCCCGCTAGAGTCTCACGCTAGCTACTTCCTGGGCATGGCCACATCCTCCATAAAGCAGTTTTGGTAAATAGATTATGCCTTTTAAGTCGCAATGCTCAATTCTCTGTCATTTAGTAGTCGAATCTTTTGATTCTGTTTATGCAGCCCTAGTCACAACTCCCCTGGCTGTGACTCACACTTGCTCTATAAATTGAACTTTAATTAATTCTAAATTAAACAGAATTTGCAATAAAGGAAGTGTAAACATTAGATCTAACTTTACAGGAAGTGCTTAAGAAGGCTGTGCACATCACATGCAGGGATGTGTGACTATGGCTGTATAAACAAAGCAATTTAACTCCAAAATGGCAGAGAATTGAGCAGTGAGACTATAGGGGCATAATCATACATCAAAAGTGCTTCAGTAAACTAACATTGTTTTGACGCTATAGTGTTAAAGAACCCTAATCAATCGTGGCATATATTACTTTATTGCCATCAGCAGTTATAATGATTTCACATAATACAAATGAGTACAACATTTCATATTGAATATGCTTATACAAACCATATTGCTGTGATGATGCCTTAGGTATAGTCATGAAATATTAACCCTTTCAGTACAGAATATGACAAAGCAGTTTTTATCATAACATCTTCACATGTCATGCCCCACAAAATAGTTAATGGGTTCATAGCTGTTTTCAGAGTAGGGTCTCTGGTGAAATTCATTTTTTATTATTCTGATCACATGACAAGGGTTTGCCCATTCTTGCATTTTTTTTCTCATAAATGTTAACCGATATTGGAGTGATTGCAAAATATGTTTATGCTAGAGTTGAGCGGACACCTGGATGTTTGGGTCCGTTGGGTTTGGCCGAACTTTGAAAAAGAGTCCAGATGGAACTTGACTCGAACCTAAACCCCATTGAAGTCAATGGGGACCCGAACTTTTGGCCACAAAAATGCCTCTAAAAACCTCCTGGAAAGAGCTAGAGAGCTGCAAAAGCAAGTAAAATGGGGGTAAGAGTAGGACAAGTGCCCTGCAAACAAATGTGGATAGGAAAATCACCTAAAATAACATAAAAATAAAAAATACAGCTGAGCCATAAAATAGCACTAGATGGAATCTTTGTTTTTAACTTTGGAAGAACATAAATCAAAATCTAAAGCATGGCTGTCAGGAGGATCAACAGAATTATCAATTTGAGAGAGGGTTGGAGTGCAGGGTATTCTCTTTCATTGTTCAAACTGAGCTCAACTCCTGATGCATGGAGAAAAGGCCTTCACAAGCCTCTGCTATTGTGTACATAGTTTATACTAAGTGACCCATAGGTTCAGGAGGCGGTGACTGTGGCGGTGTAGGTGGAAGCAGCGGTGGAGGAAGAAACATTTGCAGCCTGCGGTGCATTTCTTGCAGTCCTGATGCATGGAGAAATGCTCAACTCCTGATGCATGAAGAAAAGGCTTTCATGTTTTTTTGTTTTTTTTTAATTGTGGTAGCCCACAAAATATTGGGACATATAAAAAAAAGACAACTCTGTTCTGTAGAGTAGCTGTTGACATTATAGTTGCGCAAGAACTTTGTCGACTCTAGAGAACCTCGAGCCAATCACACATCCCCGTGACAGCGACTTTGCATTCGGATGTCATCCATATCAACTTTCGATGCCAGTTTCTGGGCCTACCATGGTGACCACGGGAAACGGCTACCACATGCAAGAAAGGCAGCAGGCACGCAAATGACCCACTCCCGACGCGGGAAGATAGTGACGACAAATAACAATACAGGACTCTTTAGATGCCCTGTAATTGTAATGAGTACACTTGAAATCCTTTAACTCTGATCAATTGGAGGGAAGTCTGGTGCAGAGCCACTAACCCGTGCGTGCTGCAGCTGAAACTATACTATCACCTGCTGCTGCTCACACAGTCTCATGAGGCGGTGAGTGGGAAGGCCGAAGTTACGCTGCAGCGCAAACAGGCAAGCAGCAGCAGGGTGAGAACGCCAAAAGAGCGCACAGCCGCTACAATGAATGTCACATCCTGTTCCAAGTTGCGGCTCAGTCTGGTGATGGCTTCTGGTATCCAGTAGTCTTTTTACTGAAGCTGCATCAGGGTCCTGGTATGTGGCCGCACAAACGATGGTGCTCAACACCACAGGGCATGCGGTTACCCTGCAACAGACCCTGCTAGTCCATTCCACACTGTGACTCCTAACTTCAACATCAGGCATACTGGGTCCTGGTCTTCCGACTGCCGCCCAGACAGTGTCTGGGTCCTGGTCACCAGACTGCCCAACTGACTGTGAAACTACGAATAGATCGTTAAATCTGGTATCAGAGCTCAACTCTATTATGGATCCTTTGATCTCTACATGTATTACTTGGATAACTGGTAATTCTCAAGCTAATACATGCCGACGAGCGCTAGGGGACGGCCACTCCGCTTTTGCACCCTGCTCCCTCTTATGCTGTGCTGGTGCCTCTGTGCGACCAGCGCCTCTTCCTCCAAACTGCACACGTCACTCGCATGACCTTGATTCCATGTGGGGTCTAGGACCTCTTCATCCTCCACATCATCTTCCACCCACTCCTCAACCCTGCCCTCCTTGCCGGTCTGCACACTGCAGAAAGCCACAGCAGTTGGCACCTGTGTTTTTCCAGCATGTAAAGTCTGCAAAGGACATATGGAACTTGTTTTAGAATTGTATCCAGGCAACAGTTTTCCCTATAAACTGACCTCTCAGTTTGACATGTGAGGGTATTGCCCCAGAATTACAATATTGTTTAAGTACCTCTTAGCTATTGATAACTGGTTTAAATATAGCAGTTTGTTACCTGGTAGTTTCTAGTGTAGAAAATATCAATCTGTTTTCTATCACTTAGATCTGTGTAACAAGTGTTGTAGATGTGAAACAATATTACACGTGACCGATGTAGTAAATTCGAATCAAGGTTACGCTTTGATTTGCCTCTCAGATATGAAGTGAACACCCCAAATATACTATTTAGCACCAAAAAAAAAATTGACTTTTTAAAACTCCAATGTAAGCAGCAGATTAGCAGCAAAACAATTAGAATATTTACAACTATTTGACACTTCTATTTGACTCTCAGATATGAAGTGCACCGCAGGCCGCAAATGTACTATTTAGCAGATTAGCAGCAAAACAATTAGAATGTTTACAATTGCGCTGTAACCGCTGTATTAGACGCTTCGATTTGACTCTCAGATATGAAGTGCTCCCCACTAATCTACTACCCCACTAATGTACTATTTTGCACCCAAAAAAATTAACTTTTTAAAACTCCGAAATAACAGCGATATTTGAAGCTTCTATTTGACTCTCAGATATGAAGCACACCCCACCCCACTAATGTACTAGTTTGCAGAATTCGTTCCTAAGCTGTCCCTATCAGCGGCAGCATCCTCTCCCTACACTAATAAGACCGCATGTGCGTGCGGCACTACGCGACTCCAGCTTATATATAGAGGCTGGGTCACATTCTGCACTGGCCAATCACAGCCATGCCATTAGTAGGCATGGCTGTGATGGCTTCTAAGGGCACACGAGTCAAACGCTTGTTGATTGGTTGCCCTGCAGCCTTTTAAAACACGCCATTAAATCGCAGAACACGAACTCCAACCCGAACATACAGTGATACATTCAAAGTTATATTTGAGCATGCAAGTCTTGCATCACCAGTGAGTCAGAGTTGGAGTTTTGACTGGATATGATTTAGATAATTATTTAATTCCAACAGACAAGGTCATTGACATATCAGGAGACTGATCCATCAATACAATCAATACTAAAAAAAAAAAAACATTTGGGAGTTATCACAGTATTCTGTGACATATGAATTCAATCATTATTTTGATCATATTTATTAAAGTGCCCTAAAAAAAGTAAAAAAAAAGTTTGACATAGAAAATGCTTGCTTTTGCAGATATATAATATGCAGCTAAATTTTAAATAAACCAGAACACCTTTTGACTAGAAAATGTAGCATAAAAATCTGATGCTTCAACACATTTTTTTAATATATTAGAAAATGAGTTAGGACACAAAAGAAGCAACAGAAAACACCAAACAGATTTAATTAGTTGCTCAAAATATTCACCAAAAAAGATATGTAAAAGACGCTTTGATAAATCTCCCCAACTGTCTGCTATTGTTTATTTGTTTTTGTTTATGTCTTATTTGAGTAATTCCTCTGTTGCAACATTAGTGTGCATTGGCTTCAATAAATCATGTTTCCAGTTTTTAAACAGATCAGTAGAGCTGTAAGTTGATGTAAAACACCTCACTTGAAAAAACACAGCTCCCTCCACTAATTCAAAGTTACACGCTGACCTATACTTTACTTTTGTTCATACACAGTTGATAAAAGCAAAATAATTATAAACAGAGAATAGTGACAGATGTTGGTGCATATCACAATCACTTTGTAGTCACACACATTTGCACTCAATTTTATTTGATACCACTTCAATGATTTATCTTTGTAAAGCAGAACAGGTAGAAGGGAAATAGTGCAACAAATGTGCAGGTGAGCCTCTATATAGGGATCACTCCCCAAATACCCCAATATATTTGTATTATTTATCTTTGTATTATTTATCTTTGACAGCAGAAATGGCAAACATGGGACATGATACATCAGCACTGACATACGTAAACTATATCACATAGTCTTGACTATGTTATCAATGTCATACTAACCCTAATGCAGAATTCATATTACAAATACACACGCATATGACCCTTAAAAGATGTCATCCCTGGGGCCAGGGTCAAGACTGTGCTGTAAAACATACAGTGCAACAAAAGCAATCATCAATTGTCAGAGAACATAGAGACTGGAAGGATTATGCTAGAAATAATTACATGGATCATTAAGAATTAGATAATGGGTTGTCAAATTTCTGTACTCTTGCTAGGAGAAAAAAAGGATGACAGTGTTAGCTGGAAATGTTATAATCAAACAAGGTTTACTAATCATATCACATGTTTTATTTTAAACACTCAAGTCTAATCAAACGCAGAGGAGAGCACTTTAACAGAAAGGGCATCAATGCCAACATCAGCTGCCTTTAATCCTTTGTGAGGCTAGAAGATAGTTTAGCCGCCTTGGCAGATATAACTTACAGCAAGTCAAATGCAATCGCTAAAGATGGGTCCAGTATCAGCAGACATTCAGGGCCATGAGAGCTTTCCCTACTGTGTCATTGGTGTCAGATTACCACCTTCCCTGTGCATGCGGCACATCAAGTGGATCCTCACCACACATTATAGGACTATAATAAATTGGGCCAAAAAAGAGGCACTTGGGCAATTAAATTGTGTTCCCTTAGATCCTCAAGCATACCTTTTCTAGAGCCTTGGATATTGTGGACCAAAACATCTCCTTCTCAATTCTTCTTACCTCCTGTTCCCAGTTATCTAAAATGACCCAGTAACCTAACGTTCTCATCATCTGTTTGTTTGTTTCAGCAATGGAGAATTTGCTGGTGATTCATAGATAAAAATATTTATGTAAATGTACATGAGTATGACTTAAACTGTTCCATTCAAATAACAAGTTATCCATGCTACAGCATATTGCCAATCTCCAACACTATTATAAAATACACATTAAGCAAAAGAATTATGCAGTAAAACATCTCACACACTAATGCCCTTAAAGCATACATGACTAAATTAATTAATACCCAATTGGTCGTCAACCTTTGGCACTCTAGATGTTGTGTTCTACATCTCCCATAATGTCCTTACAGCCATAATGCTCGCAAAGCATTAGGGGAGATATAGTACAGAACATTTAAAGCGATGAAAGTTGCCTACCCATGCCCTATTTAGTAGGGATTCTGAGGTATTAGGGGCCTGTTACAAATGGAAAGCTCCGATTCCACCCCCCATAATAAATAGATGAGAACAGATGTACACCACCCATTAAACACAGAAGTAGCCCATGCACATTTTTTCTCTTGGCCTGACAATTACTGTTTAATGTGTAAGACAAACTGCACAAATCTAATTCTAAGTAAACTAAATGGGTAAATAGAAACCTAATATACGAAACAGAAATAAAAACTATGTTATGTTCTTAACCACAAAAATTAAATGGCCTGTATAACCACCTACAAACAGTGAAGATATTGTACCCATATCGCAATATTCTCCATAGTATTATCACTGGTGCCAGAGGCCTGACATGACACGTAAACAAATACTAGTTGTTCAATATACCACTAAGTGAAATCACATACCTTTATTCCTCACTTAACTTTATGAAAAACACAATCTGATCTAAAAATATGAATACAAAATCCAGGACAATACACCAGTCCGGCAGTCTTCTCCCTACGCATTTCTTTTTGTAAAATAGAACTTCCTTAGAGGCTACATAAAGTGCTATTAAAGTCTACATCACAAATAAAATGAGCAATAAAAACTTTCCAGAACAGTGAATAAGCATTTGTCCATTCTGGTTTTACATCTCCTTGTCATCCAACAAGGATACATGAAAAGCAGGAATTTCAGCCTTATTCTCCCTATATCAACATGTTACTAGGCAAAACACAGCCACTCTAAACTGTAGACATTTATGAGTAATTATGTTACAAAAAAAAGAACAGGAACAAAACAAACAAAAAAAAACAACGTAAATGGTCCTTTATCATATTGATGTGAATGTTACATATTCACATGTTCATTGGCCATACATTGCTGATAAGTAGATCCATTGAACATTTATAGATGTCTACCTTTCAGAATATTTTAAAGAAGCTTAAAATTATACCACCCAGGAAAACGGCAATACCTTTCAAATCTGTATGTTATGGAGTCTCTTGTGAAAAGTGACCTTTAGGTTTCTTTGAAGCTGTCC